TATATATATATATACAATAAAATTTCCACTTTTCTGCAATACTTTTTATTTACACAATAAAATTTCAAAATTTCATATTTATAATAAATGCAACCAAACTTATTAATGCTATGAATTTACAATATTAAATAAATTTGAATTGAATAAAAAAAAAGATTATTTATAGCGTGCTCTAGATGTAAACCGTCAGCGAAGCTGACGGGTTACACCTAGTATATATTAAAATTCCCTGGTTGATGATACGTATTAATATATAAATGATCTGCGAATTAATCTTGTTTCAAACTGGTTAATAATTAAAGTTTGGTTTTCACGATGTGTGTATATATATTAATATATACGTAGCTCCTTTTTTAAATTTGTATTTGGTTCTTCAATAGTTTGTTGCTTTATTTTTATTTTTTTTTGGCGTTTCTTAAATTTAATATATAATTATTAGTAAAACAAATATTGATTAATTCTTCCATTATCAAGTTCTTGTCTTAGTTTCTTCAAAGAAAATTAAAAACGGATATAGAATTAATTACGTATTAATAACAGTTATAAGAAATATGACTATTGATGGAAAGAAAACACAATGAAACATTATTTGGAATTGGCAGACGTTGCTTTGAATATTTAAACAACTACAATAATTCTCACCTTCCTTGTGTAAATAAGGCTAAACTGACCAGCTGACCTGGGTTATGATGATGCAGCCAAATTTCATGGGGTTTGGATGGCCCTGGAGTTTATTGCTGTTGCATTTTTGTGAATCTGGACTACTAACATTAACAGCCATGCATGTTTTGAGGGGAAGTGCTGTCAAAAGCTCTTGATTGTCCAAAGCTTTCCAACTTGTTCAAGCCATTTCACCTGTGGAAAATTCTATGGTGCTGAAAAATGCTTATGCATGGCGCTTGCATGTTTGTGGTAGGAAATTTTTATAAATCTGACGCCTATGTTCAATATCATCAGGTTTTTTAAGGATCTGGGTTATTAAAAGTTCATTTCTGTGTGGTCTTGGTATTGTTTACTACCTGGGCGATGCAATTATTATTATTTATTATTATATAAAATTACAGAATTAAATATATATTAATATACATATAATATATTAATAAAGGTTTATTTAATATATTTAATAATTCAATTACAATTTAAAATCTAAAATTCAAAAAGACTGCCTTTAAAAATACATTATAGTAATAAATCAAAACCTGTCTTGGTCGCCTTCTATATTAATATTAATATTACTATTACTATTAAATAAAAGCTTACGAGAACATGTAACTTTCTTTCCATTAATTATTAACACGTTCAACGTTTATTTTTAACTTTGCGTTATCTTTCTTTATCTTCTATATATCTCCTTAGTAAAGTAACATAACCTTATTATTATTGAAAGATTAAAGAAAAGTTTGCGAGACGTAAATGATCATTTGTTTCATTTGTTTCATTTGTTCATTTGAATCATTCATAATCATTTGTTTCATTCGTTTGTTTGAATCATTTGTTTCATCATACATGTCGTTGTTCTCATAATTATTATATAAAACCCCTCTTTTGTAATATTGAGTGTTGTTATAACAGGAGTTTTTTAAAAAATGTCATTATTATTATTATATTAATATTAATATATAATAATAACAAGATTGTCATATAAATATATACCCATCAAATCATTTATAACATGTTATATACCATCCCTAATTAGAAATTTTTACTATATATACGAGATAATTTTTTTAAAGAAAAACACTGTATATATTAGTTTTCTTGGTTTATAAGACACAGAATTTTATTTCACAAAGGATCGTTAAAAAACCTGATACATTATAATAATAATGATAAAAATAGTATTATAGTATATATACATCATCTGGAAACCTTTGGACTTCATCTTTCATATCTATCGTCATTTCCAAAATTACCAATACTTTTACTATTTTTAATGGCTTGGACTATAATTTCTAGCGTTTCTACAGCTTTAACTAAAAAAAATATTTAACTTGGTAAAAATCACAACTATATACAATTCACCCTTTATATAAAATCTCTCAATAATAATATATAACAAAGAGAGTAACATTTACTTGTCATGCCTCAGATAATAAAAAATGGTATTATATACCTTTTTCCTGCTTAATTGTTTCATTTTCCCGCTTAATTGCTTCATTTTCTTGCTTAATTGTTTCATTTTCTTGCTTAATTTTTTCATTTTCTTGCGTATTATTGATAAAATTTGTAAATCTTTCCATATATTCCGTAAGTCCGCCCATTGCAATACATAATGCATTTTTCACATTAACTTGGTTTTCTTGAATACTTTGGAAAATTTCGTCACAATCTGGAAATGTCTGTTCCTCTTTATTATTATGATTATATTTCATTTGGTCTTTTATTAACATTTCATGTAAACCTTTATTATAATATATATATATATATAATTTTTAATGTTATATATTATTATTTTTCCAAATTAAAATGGAAAAAATTTATAATACTTGCTCTCATGATTTTGATTATTTGATTCATTATTTACTGATGCAAGATCCAACTTGGCAATATCATGTTTATTATTATTGTTGGTTATAATTTGAATGATTTGATCGCATTTATTTTGTAGTTCATCTATTTTCTTGGCTTCAACATAATAATAATAAAAATTAAATATACATTTCCAAATATTTATAAAAAATACATCCATAATTATTTACCATCGTTTTTGACGCTATTCAATGAACAATCAAAATTTTTAAAACCTTCATTAATAATTGTTTGAAGACTCGATATATCTAAGAAAAAGAGGATATTATTATATATTCAAATTATACAATTTGTCTTAAAAAATTATACAGTTATCTTAAAAATTACTTTGATTAATAACTGTATGTGAATCTGAAGTGAAGATAGTGTTTCTATTTTAATAAAGTAACGTTCCGGTAAGTTCATATTAAAATAACTATTAATTTGATCAAGTAAATTTCAACGTACCTTCATTAGAATTTATTTCTTCTTTTATTTCTTTGAATTGTTTGTTAAAAGAATCTTTGAAGCCATTCTAAAATTAAATAAAATGTTATATAGATAAAATATTTGAGCTGAATGTGCAGGTACATACTTCTTCAAATATTGAATTATCTTTTGAGCTGTGAATTTCATTTAGAATGACATTAATTTCTTTTTGCATATTTGATACGTTGTTTTTCATAAAATTCTATTAAGATTCAAAATATTAGTTATATATAGGTAAAGGTTGCTTTATTAAGTAAAACTTTATACCTTCAAGTCATCATTGTCCGAGATTTCAATATTCAAATCCTCGATCTTTTTATTCAAAAATTCTATTCATTCGGTGTCTTTTACACTTCTGCTGTTATTTCTATAATGTTTGGTCAAATCTTCAAAGTAATTACTCCGAAGCTCCAAATATTCATTGTATGTACTGGCTGGTTCATAAAAAAAAACATGACTACTGTCATGTTTTTTACGCTCAAAGGGTTCAATGAAGATCGTTCTTTTTTTAAAAACTTCGGCCAAAATTTCCCAAAGACTTTGATATGTATTTTGTTTGATTATATTAAAAGCTTCTTTTTTTTTTATCAATAATATCATAAAAATATAAATTATAAAATCTTCGCATTCCATAATAAATCTGCAAACATTTTCGAAATATTCTACTGAATTAATTTTGACGTCGAACTGTTTATTTTTCAAATGACGACAGATATTCATACAAATCCACTGCCATTCTATTTTCGTTAACTTTTTTGTTTGGTCCTGGAATATAATTTCTAGATTTTTTATGTCTCTAATGTTTATAGTTTAGTATTAGTATTGTTACGTATTACTATTATATTAAAACTACTCACAAAACTTTACAAGCATCATTTATGAATGTTCTGGTTACGTTGCCATTTAATAGATATGGTTCCAAATGATTAAGCTATTATATATATATATATATAGAAAATTCCTCAATTAAATTATTTGAATCGCTTCAGGGTTAAATAAATTTTACTTTACCAGCTTTGATGAAAGTGAGAGTACTTCTTTTTGAGAAATGGTAGAAATCATCATGGCAGACAAAAGATTACAGAGACCCATTTGAAATACAAAAGGTTAATCATTTATATGTTCAGTCTCAATTTTTTAAAACAATACAAATATTTCACACAATTGACTAATAAAATTCCAATTGAATCAATTGAATTCGATTTACTTTTTCAATTGAAATCAATCAAGTTTACAATTCATTTTAATATCATCGATTGAAACCAATTGAATTATAATAAAAATATCATCGATTGAAACCAATTGAATTATAATAAAAATATCATCGATTGAAATCAATTGAATTATAATAAAAATATTGTCAATTGAAATCAATTGAATTATAATAAAAATATTGTCAATTGAAATCAATTGAATTACAATAAAAATATTTTCAATCAAAATCGATTGAATTATAATAAAAATATTGTCAATTGAAATCAATTGAATTATAATAAAAATATTTTCAATTGAAATCAATTGAATTATAATAAAAATGTTTTCAATTAAAAATCAATTGAATTATAATAAAATATTTTCAATTGAAATCAATCAAGTTTACAATTCATTTTAATATCATCAAATGATATTTGATAAACCATAATTGATAGATTTCAATCGTATTGTGTGCATTAGATATAAAAATACGGATTATGAATTGAATAGTATATTTATTTTTTGTGAGAATTGACAAAAAAGGAAGCAAAATGAATAGATATAGGCCACCAACACCACCGCAAAATGAAATTGATCTCGAAACATTGTCACGTTTTCTAAAACGTGGTAGGAAAGAAAAAGAAAGACCTCCAAGAATTGTTCAATGTAGCAAAAATCCACCACTTGTGGAAATACGTTCTAACAAAATTGACGAAAATGACGAAAATGGAGGTCTAGATGAATTGGCCGATTGTATTAATTATATTATTAATCATTTTCAATCTCAACAAACTAAAGATTATTACATTCTTGGATGCCTTTTGTTGATGCCATATAATATATTAATGAATAATATGATTATAAAAGATCGAAATATGACAATGAAAACAACTTTTTCAAATGGTCAAACTACATCATTTAAATTAATTAGAAAAGAATTACCTAAACAACCAACAACGAAAAGTCCTGGGATTAAACTTTATTCAGAATCCATTTTAGATAATTTCGGAGAGAGCAAAAATATCTGTAAATTGATAAGTTGTTTATGCGATGTCGCTGATACTGATCTAGAAAATCGAGTTAAAGATATGAACCTTAAATCTATCGATATAAAAGATGTAAGTTATGATGGATTTAGTGGTATAGGAAATGAATGCAATCTCAAAAAAATGATACTCACATTAGAGAGGTTACTCAAGGCTTCAAAACAACTTAATTATTTTATGATAATAAGAATATTGTTATTAGGCTTTTCGATAAGAAAAATGCATGATATAGAAAAATCTATATACTATATACATATTTTGATTACACAAACAGGTTTCAAACAAGTTTGCGGGATCGGCGAAAACGCTGAATGAGAACGCTCTAAAGTAACTTTTGGAAACATGTTAATATTAATAAAGTCACAAAATTATGTAACATTTTCCTGAATTACCAAAAAATAAAAAAAAAACAATCACGGATTGCATCTTGCGTCAGTCATAAAAAATTATGATGAGTGACGCAAGACGCAATTTTACAGATTTTTAATTGCGTCTGACGCAATTCAATAATTTTAGTG